CCCCTGACCTTGGAGAATCGTATGACGAGACCTAGGGTTGTGGTAACTCTACTACATTAATCGTATATGTACATTTGTTCTTAGTTTACGATGAGGAGCATTGTCTACCAGGAAACGCCAACAATCTGAATCTGAAGTTAACTGGTTCGTATGGAACTCTACAAAACCCTGAGTACTACCCCCCGCAACTGTACTGTGAATGGCTCATCACTGTACCAAAGGGGAACATTGTAGAGCTCAGCTTTGAAAGACTTGACTTGGATTTTCAAACAAGTGAGTTTGCAAGTTCATGTGGGGATTACGTGCAAATTCATGATGGGAACTACGGGGAAAGTGATACCATGGGTACTTTCTGTGGTAATGTAATTCCAAAGCCACTGAAGTCAATCGGTCGGTATATGTACATTAGTTTCCACGCTGACGTTTTGTACGATACACCACGCCGGGGATACAAGGCCACATTCAAAGCTGTGACGAAGCAATTCTGTAAGTTGGCTATGTTAAAAGTTAGGTAATATATTAAGCAATTAGATTATGAGCTCGAGATTTCTGTCGCGTGATAGTTGAAATCAAGAGAGCGAATAATCTCATTGTTTTAGTGTAAATCTACTAGTCTTCAAAACAACATCTACATCCTCTACACAGGCATTTCGAAAATACCAAGAAACGGCTGTCACTTTGTTACAAGCGCACTGCTACACTCCGCACTATCTATCACAGAATAGATAGTGAGTAGCGTAGCCAATCAGAGATCAGCATTCGTGATAGAACGCTAGCAGATTTATACTACTGATACTGACTAGCATGCTATCACATTTTCGCAATAAGCAACTTATAATCGGTTTAAGCCCCTACGGAGAGTTGGAAGTATGGCCTGGATTTTGAAAGGCTCTTCTTTCTAATCCATTTTATCCGATTTTTATTATAAGTTAACTACAACAGCTACAACTGACGGACCCCGAGGTTTGGTTTACTCTTGCTGACCTCCTCAAATCAGATCGTTGTCTAGGGTGTCATTACGGTCAGGGATCAAATCCACGAATATCCATGAGTGCTCTCTTTGTCAATATGAATAATATAATAATAGAGAGATTAAGCCTGACGTTACGGTAAAACGGCAAACGGCAAAAATGAACCTTTTTTCCTCTGTCTTCAGCTGTATGTACAAAAGAGTGAAATTATTTGTATTTGCGGTGAAC